TGTTTATTGTGTATTTTCATGTTGTTGGATATTTACATGTGGATTAGTTATGGTTTTGTGTGCTGCCTTTGGCTGTAATTCTCTCTCAGGTCGAGAAAAGGTGATTTTTTTTCGATTTCCGAAAGACAAGAAACTTCGAAAAGTTTGGTGCAACAAGATCGGTCGTGCAAACTCTGCTTGTAAATACAAAGTGTATTCACCAAATAAGAACAGTCGGTTGTGTTCGCTACACTTTGAAGAGGATCAATTTCACACATAGTGCATCATTTTTAGAGACAATTGGTTTTAAAGCAACATTCAGGAGAACTCTCAAGACAGACGCCGTGCCACCATTTTTCAGTCACCGCCGGGAAGCGGTTAGAAATTCAACAAAAAGGAAAGGCACTCTTCAGAAGTTCTGCTTGAAAAAAAAAAAAAAATCAAGTAGGTTTTTATTTTTAGATTGCAGTTGTTCATTTCATATCTAAATTAATTGCAATAAAAACTATCAAATACTGCTGGTATAGACTGTTTGGACCAAAAATAGCAAGAAATCAAAGGAGTTGAGTGGCAACCAGCCATTTTTCATGGTGGACAGTCTTCCAGTGTTTATGACTTCAAGTTAATGCATAATTTATTATATATTTTGCTTTTGGTTTAGTGTCAACATTTACATTTTCAAACATTTTTTGAGAAAGCCTGACTTTTTCTTTACCAAATCAAAACTATAAATATTACTTTGTGTAAACATTTAATATTTATCTAAGCTTGATTACCAAACAAGTTCTTGCAACTTACATTAATCACTTTTGAATCTAACCCAGTACTGGTGTCATATGAAGAAACATGACCAATTTTTGGATAAGGGCTCGAATCCATGATCCAAGGGTTGAGAGGCAGACACCTTAACCCAGTCCATGCGACAGGTCTGTCGGTCCTCGGACCTCGCAAGCTAAAAAATCAGGAGGGCCGAGATAAATTTTGATACAGTCAATCCTCATGTCCGAAAAATTTCAGCCAGTTCGAAACAATTTTTGGCATCTAAAATATCATTAATATGCAAAACTTCAAAGTGACTCTACTTATAAAAGAGTTGGTAAGCGAACAGCATGAATACTGATCAGACTGCGTGGATGCAAACCCATTATGTTAGTTTTGTCGTGACGCGGCTCATATTTGTTCATAAGATCTTATAGTTGAGTCTGATAATTCATATTTGCTAAATATTTTTGTTTATAATTATGGCAATATATCCCTCCCCCAGCCCTACAAAAAATACCTTTCAGAGTCCGCCTGGGGAAAAAAATCATCAGAGCCGGAAATAAATCTAAGGATCCCAGTCCCTGTGGCTGGAATTTTTTTTTTGACTTTCGCATTGACTGCTTACCCACTAGGCCACTGCTCCCCTCTTATATATTATAACTTCATCTTCAATTGAATTTACGGCCTTGAATCAAACTTATCATAGCTCAATTCAACTTCCACAGTCCACACTGTTTTAAATACTGGTTATAAATGACACCAGAAGGAAGCAGTTAGGGTGACCCTGCCAAGGAGTAGTTTTGTCATTAATGGGAAAACAAATAAACAACAGTATCACAAGTATATAGTCTGCATATTCAAGTTCTACATATTTTTATTTTTTACAAAAGCAAAATAAAACATAAAATTAACTTTAAATAACAGGTGAATACTAAAGCTTGATAATTATCTTAGCTTACTATGTATAATGGTAAGTATATAATGCTGTATAAACTAGTTTGAACAGTTTATGTTAATAATCTATTTTATAAATCTTACCTTGCTTGAAATATATATTAATCATGCCTTTTCAAGTCAATGCATTGGCTAAGTGGATATATACACTTATAGATGCTACCTCCCTTTGTTATGTATACATGTCCTATACTGGACACCCCACTGTGCTGGAATATATCACATTTCACAATATACAACTCGTTATCTTACAATACACCAAACAGTGCCAGTTGTCTTTGTGTATGATATTGATATGGTTTAGTTAACTAGCTATAATTAACTCTTCACTAAGGATCAATATCCCACTTTTTTATGAGGGAAAACAGATTACATGTCAATGTATGTAATATATGATTGATTTTATTCTTAATCACATGGACACTCATCATTTGTAACTTTTTCACTCTCTATGCTATCCAGTTCAATGGAATCAAGGCCTTTTTTGCCCAAACTTTAGTGGCGGGCATTTACATTTACCCTTATCCGTCCGTCCGTTCTCTTTTGTGTCGCATGTAACTTAAAAGTATTTGACCTAGAGTCATAAGATTAACAGAACAGTGGAGCGGTGGGGGCACCCGTGTCCTATGGACACATTTCTAGTTTTGGTTCTGTATTTTTGCTGTTTTAATAGTTCACCTTTATTCATTTCAAAAACTTAGCACACAACTGAATGTAAATCTATTACCATTTACTTATTTTATAGCTATGAAATAATTTGATATATTTGTTTGTCAGTTACATGTTAGAAATTGCACTAATTTTATTTGAAAATAAGAAGTTTTAAAATTCAATAAAAAAATATTGGCATATTTTGGATAACAATATCAGGCAGTTTGAATAAAAGCAATATTTTTGTGAAAACTGGACACTCAAAGAAAAATAGTTGCCAAAAAAATTATAAGAAAGAATGCAATTACATGTTTGTTCACCGCCTCCGTGGTCGAGGGGTTAGAGTCAATGACTTCTAATCCAGTAACCTCTCTGGCATGGGTTCGATCCCTGGGAGATGCTTTGGTAGTTTAGCGCAGGGGCAGGTAGTCTAGTACTGGTGTAACTCTCCAGGAACGATGGTTAGGAAACTACCCGCCTATATGGCTGAAATATTGTTGGGAAAAGGCGTAAAATGAAACAAACAAACAAAAAACATGTTTGTTCTGGTGTAAAATAGGGGACAATTATATATTCATTTGGGAGGACTATATGACAAAATCATGAAATTAGGGCATGCTTACGGTGGCATAGAGGTGACATTTGCAGTTTTATTTTATCTCGTGGCCACGACTTATTATCTTGAGGCCTCAAGATATTATCTCGTGGCAACGACTTATTATCTTGTGGCCTCAAGTTATTATCTCGTGGCCACGAGTTATTATCTTGTGGCCACGACTTATTATCTCGTGGCCACGACTTATTATCTTGTGACCTCAAGATATTATCTCGTGGCCACGAGTTATTATCTTGTGACCACGACTTATTATCTCGTGGCCTCAAGATATTATCTCGTGGCCACGACTTATTATCTCGTGGCCACGAGTTATTATCTTGTGGCCTCAAGATATTATCTTGTGGCCTCAAGATATTATCTCGTGGCCACGAGTTATTATCTTGTGGCCACGACTTATCATCTCGTGGCCACGACTTATTATATTGTGACCACGACTTATTTCAGCCAATGATAATGGTCGTTTCATCTTGAACAAAAGTTGATATCAATAAGACCTTATATCACATTGGCCACAGCTTTCACAAGAGCGGCGGGTCAAACGCTGCGGCGGTGAAGAAAGGGAACGTTTTATAATTATTATTCTTATTTTTTGTATGGTCAGGTGTTTCTTTCATTCTTTTTTAAAGATATACTTTGCTTAAATTTAATATTAGAAAATATTGATAATTGTTATATAGTCCTTTTGTACATGTAAACATAAAATAAACATGTTATGACTTCACAGATAGTAGATATGTTATGTTTAGAATTCTACACAGTATAGGTGTTCACCATGAATATATATGGTGTCAGTTTTTTTAAGTAAAGATTACTTGACCTGTTATAGGGATTGCAGCATCCTGTACATAGTTTATTGATTTCTTTATTCAAGTTAGACGCATTAAGTTAGAATATAATAGATTTAAAAAAATGAGGTGATTTTAATTTTCAAGGATGAGCACGGTATATCTAATTTAATTGAGATTTAATTTAGAAATATATGCGGTTGATGTATACTTTTAAGGTCGTTCATTGAAATAACTTGCCCCTTTTCCCTGTGGATTCGAATCCCATTAAAGACTTGTATCTAGATAGTTAGTATTGAAGATATACTACAATGTCACAATGATAAATGACTAACTTTGACGGGTTATCTGAATCTTTATCTTTTTTTTTATTATAAAAACTGACATATACAAGTTTCAAAGACATATATCTCCTCTTTGATTGCTACTGCTACTGCTGTGCTATTACTACTGCCAATTTCACGTTTTATAATTTTGCTACTGCTACTTCTGTGCTACTGTTACTGCCAACTTCATGTTTTATAATTTTGTTACTGTTACTACTCAATGCTACTGCTAACTTCCTACCGGTGATGACCACTTATAAAAGTGAATGTATTTTATGAAAAACTGCATCTACAGAAACTTGATCCTTAAACGTTAGGACCATAAGATAAGAATACAGAGGGCCAATTAGTGATGACAAGACTCTACTCAGTGGACGTGTTAATGTGGTCGATACAGTTTATAGTGATATACTAGCTGATTAGCCCTTACTGAAATTCAGCACGTCTCTGGGAAAAAGCGTGAACTTAAGTGAATATATGGTGGTGATTGACACGCACCTCCTGTGACTGCTATTGCCAGTGTGATATTAAATTTTGTTCAAGATGAAACGACCATATTCATTGGCTAAAATAAGTTGTGGCCACAAGATAATAACTCGTGGCCACGAGAAAATAAGTCGTGGCCACAAGATAATAACTCGTGGCCACGAGATAATAAGTCGTGGCCTCAATATATTAAGTCGTGGCCACGAGATGATATATTGAGGCCACAAGATAATAAGTCGTGGCCACGAGATAATAAGTCGTGGCAACGAGATAATATCTTGAGGCCTCAAGATAATAAGTCGTGGCCACGAGATAAAATAAAACTGCAAATGTCACCTCTATGCCTATATATTAAGTCGTGGCCACGAGATGATAAGTCGTGGCCACAAGATAATAACTCGTGGCCACGAGATAATAAGTCGTGGCAACGAGATAATATCTTGGGGCCTCAAGATAATAAGTCGTGGCCACGAGATAAAATAAAACTGCAAATGTCACCTCTATGCCAATATATTAAGTCGTGGCCACGAGATGATAAGTCGTGGCCACAAGATAATAACTCGTGGCCACGAGATAATATCTTGAGGCCACAAGATAATAAGTTGTGGCCACGAGATAAAATAAAACTGCAAATGTCACCTCTATGCCACCGTACATGCTTATCTGAGTAAGATATTCATAGAAATAAACTGTTTTAATTTAGATCCATTATGAGGCAAAGAACCCCACCCACACCCTGACAGAAGAGGCTCCATGCCTTGACACCCAGGAGCAGACTACAGTGTTTGATATCAGTGGGCCTCTAACAGCAACACCATTACAACTGCCAGATGATTGTGTAAATTTGGAAACTTGGGCAACAGTCGCAAGCAATGCCCAGACATTCCAAGTGCCCCAAGTGTACCATGTTCAGTGCCAGACACCAGCTTTGGTAAGTTGTAACCCTTGACAAAATTTTTGTTTAACTTTACAATTATTAAGTATGAAAAAATAATATGATAATGTTTGGCAATATTGGCAGAAGACATGTGTATATTCAGTGACCATGTTTCAGTAATTTTTGGATTTAGATAATTCTGTGGCAAATTATACAAATATTTATGATGGCAGGTTTGTATATCAGGTATTATAATACTGCATGTATGTAACGTCACATTTCATTGAATAATCATGACGTTTATATAGTTTTATATAACACGGCTGCTGTCAAGTTATTGAGAAATCTCGCTTTTTTCTCAAAAAAGGAGGTCTGCCCTGTTATAAATTCCTTAACATGTAAATACTCCTGACAGATTAAATGACCATATATAAACAATTGTTTGCAATATAACCCTAGCCTAGCGACTCAGGTTATATTTTCGAACAACCGTTTATATAGGGCCATATAACCTGTCAAAAATCTTAATAACTAATATTATAATTATATACATATTATGTATGTATAAGATCTGTAATACACATGTATGCATATCTGTAATAGAACGTATGAATTCACTTTATTAGGTGCTAGACCTATTACAAACTGTAGGTCGTAGATTTGAATCCTTCTAATCATTCGTTAGCTCAACTTTAAAAAAAATGTGGACCTATCGTCATGACCCGTTGGTTATCAATGGTTAGCTTTTCATTAAGGTCCGTTTTCTCATAAACTATATGAGCCGTGTCACGACAAAACCAACATATTGGGTTTGCGCCCAGTCTGATCAGGATCCATGCTGTTCGCTTACAAACCCTGTTACAAGTAGAGAAACTGATAGCGAACAGCATGGATCCTGATCAGACTGCGCGGATGCGCAGGCTGGTCTGGATCCATGCTGGTCGCAAACCCATTATGTTGGTTTTGTCATGACACGGCTCATATATTATTTCGTTATCTAGAAAAATGGAGCGCGCTATTCATGGACAGGTTTAACCGTCTTGTTTTCTATTATTTTTAACCAGTTTGTTTAATATATTGAGGGAAAATTTACTTTATTATATTTTGTAAAACTGGCACCATCTTTAGAAGTCAATATTAAAATAAGTGCTAAAGTTTATGTTCGTCTCTCTCTATCGGGTGGCGAGGGTAAGCAAACCCAAACACACAAGTACATGTACTCTTGTCATTAAAATTGATGTTATGGTTTTATTTTATATCAATCATACATCTATTTCAGTGGACTGCTGACAAAGTAAGAGCACCACAGGTTTCTTGTGGAACACAGACAGAATGGGAGCAAGATCTTCAAAATGACTTGAAGATACCCACACCAACTACTAGTGTGTGCGAGGACAGCTTCCTCTCTGGTTTGAATCATTCGCGAGAAGATGAAAGTTTGGATGTAACATGGGAGCCATCACATGATGATGATGGAGACAGTGATGATTGTGAACAAATGGAGAGGGAAGGAAGTCAGAGCCAGGTGGCTAGCCGAAAATTTATTGTTTCAGAGACATGTTTAAATAAATTGTTAAGTAAGTGCTCAACATGTAACAAGCCTGTTGTTGTAGATAAAATAGTGAAAGGCTGCCTTCTTGTATGCACTAAGACATGCAGTTACTGCAATGAGACAGACACATGGGAAAGTCAGCCAACATTTGGTGGGTTGGCTGAAGGACACTTAGACCTCTCAGCAGCCATCATGTTTTCGGGCAGTACAACTGCCAAGTTCCTCAGAGCTTTAAGGTTTGCTGGGATTTCATGCTTCAATGATAGCACGTTTTATAACATTCAGAAGCATTATTTATCTCCATCAATTGAGCATGTCTGGAAAACACACCAAAACAAACTTATCAACGACATCCGTGGTAGAGGTTCTCCACTTATTCTTGGAGGGGATGGACGGTGTTGCTCGCCAGGACACACAGCAAAGTATGGCACATACAGTGTGATGGATCTGGACTCCGGGAAGATTCTAGACATACAATTAGTACAGGTTCGACAGTCTTATACTTTATTGAGTTTTATAAACCTTTAATTTTTATATTCGAGTCCGATTGGACACTAACTGATAGCTAAGTGATAAATGCTAAAGTAACATTATTCCCATCCAAGGGTATATTATGAGTGCACAGATGAAAGTCAAAATAAATTTACATTTTGTCATCCCTTTCAATTTTATAATCAACTTTGCATAAATGATAAATAACTCATGTGGCCGTGGAAGTTTTCTGTAAATGTTCAAATTTATTTACCATTTTCCAATATCAACTTTTTAAAGTATAAATATATGTTTCTCATGAGACATTATGTCAGTCTCATAAGAAGTTGTATCCACAAGGTTTTTCCTCACTGACATATTTTACTTGTAAGAAGAAAATAATCATGCCATTCCATAGCTGCTGTTGATAAAAACGATATTTATGTTTCAGTGGTACTTTTCTGTCCATCAACAATATTTGAAAGATATTGATATTTTGATGAATATATTTAGTATCTGGATATAATGGAAATTCCCCAAAAACTTATAATCAATATACATTTCATTGAATCAGTGAAGAACATGTCACTTTTGTGCCACCATTTATACATACTTTTATTTCAACATACATGACTATTGATTTATTAATTTACAGAGTAATGAGGTAAAAAATTCACATGCAATGGAGCTGGAAGGACTCCAGAGATCTTTGTCATTCCTGCTTGACGATTGCAAGCTTTTAATTTCTCACCTTGTGACAGACAGACA